AGCTACCATAACCCTACATTTGTGTCTGTCTGTCTCTTTTACATTTGTGAATCACTCTTCTGTTCCCCCCTCCCCACCTTTTGTGACCTTGATGTTCCTCCCCTCCGTGAAGGCCGAAGTCAACTAAAGGACTACTGATAGTTATCATAAAAGTCTGTCATTTGATATCAATAATTTTTTATAAGTGGAATCATCTGAATAGTTTTCGAGGCTATTTAAAAAGTTATCGTGGTACCTTAACGGTTTTTCATGATGCATGCATCGTAGGCCCGAAGGCTTTTTAAAATGCACAATATCATATATTAGCACCCCTTAGTAATTTACAACAGGTTGAAGTCCAGTGGAATATGCAAATGTGGGACAATTTAAATGGGCGAAGCGAGAGATCCCCAAAATTAAGGGGAGGGGATATGTGGTGATGTTCACAGGTGCTGATCACACATGGGACAATTCTTCGAACGTACTGGAGGGGGGAGGGGGGATGGCGGAGTGATGGGATACTTGAAAAACTCTCAGTTGAATATATTTAAAAAGACAGTTGGAGAGGGTACTACGTGAATTTAATGGAATGCAAATTTTAAGCCCTCAAAAGGTGAAATATTATATTTCAGTACATTATCATTATTATTCATTGAGCGCATTTAAAATTAAACGACTGTAAAGTTGAAATTAATGAGAAGGCACAATTTGTCACAAATCTCATATTCTGTTAAATATTTTGTTCAACGATTCTGGCGTAAAAAAAGAATAATCCTAATGAAAACCTTGATCGACGTTCTCCCGCCTATAAAATGATGATTGAATTAACGGACACTTCAATTTGTGGAGAAAAAATGCATAACAAATTTCTAACAAGGGGTGTGCGATAGACTTACCTCCACGTGGTGCACCCTGGGCAACGTATACTCATACGGCAAAAAAGTCTATTATTCGGCAGTTGACTTCTGACTTCAAACTACCAAGACCCCACTGCATTTCATATTCGAATAATTTCACAGTACTCACCTCACCTTTTTCTACCTTTGTGTCTGTCTGTCTCTTTTACGTCTGTGAATCATTATTCTGTCCTCCTCTCGACGTTTTGCCACTTTACTGTTTATCTTCCTTTCTGTGAAGCCTGAAGTCAACTAAAGGGTTAATGATACCTATCATAACGCCTGCCATTTGAAATAAATAAATAAATAAATTTCTAACAATGCTCAAACAGTAGTTGGATCTCTTAGCACTGAGTGAATACTAACTAGATGATGTGTAGCCCTAGAAACGTAATTTGGGTCATCCTTCAATTTATTAGACTTTGATTATTTCGGATGCGTAATATTTTGTTCCTCTAAGAAATAGTGTTGGTAACTGAAAAAAGGAATTAAACAATTCAAAAGAATACAACCTTGAACATTTGAAATACGCACTGAAAGCTTTTCCAACTGAAGAATCACCCCTGCCAATACAAGTTTTGTGGAGATATTTGATTTCAGCACTTCAAGACCCTCCTCAAAATCGATGCCTTCTATTTTTCTTAAAATTTAGTCAACATTGACAATCGCTTGTTATCCTCGACCATTATCAGTCTAAGTTTTCAAATTGAAATTTTTTAATGAAATGCCTAGTTTAGTGAATTGGTTGTAAAAAATTCCTCCGGTTCACTTGATAAAAAAATTAGCCCTTCGAAACCATTCACTATCTACTTGATTTAAGCTTGCTTGCAAGATATAAGTGATAACAACAAATAAATTTAAAGCAGACTTTTATCTTCGGAAAATAATTTGTAATTTCAAAATGGAAAAAGTGATTTTCTCAAATATTTCATGACCAAGATCATCCCTTCAACCCACCTGTCCCCCCCCCCCCCCACAAATATACAGCCCATTGTTATTGCGGAAAAACACATTATTGCGATAGTCAAGTAAACTCCAATCAACACACCCCAACGCTGTGGCTAATTTTCGTCAATCTAAATGACTTTATAGTGTCAAAATTCTACCCAAAAGGCATGGAATTCAATGCTTTCAATTGGTGTCATGACTGTTTTTTCACTAGTGCTAATGCTTATGGGAGCAATAAACTTAACTTTGCAAATACAGCGCGTAGTCGGGGTGTTTCATACGCACATGCATAGATATCAACACATGTTCATATGCAAATTGTAATTTGAAATGGGAAAACTTACCCATAACCCCTTCCACCCTAGCCCCCCCCCNCCCCCCCCCCCTCCTCTCCCACCCTCCCTTCGAATTTTCATCAAGTGAAGTGGAGACGGGGATGGAAATGCGATAAAAATGCTTTCCGAGTATGAACCATTGTGGGTTAGTTATGAACTAGTCAATATATTGATTGCTAGCTACAGCTTAGAAGAAGCCGCATGGGTATAAAGTGCATGCATTATTTTATTTTTATTTTCTGGAAATCGGTAACAAAATTGGCTTCATCAGGAAAGCAATTATTACTAACTTGCTTGCTTAATGTTTCGAAATAATGTGATCCATTGGATACCTGGCACAGGAATTCTAACCACCTAGTGCCCTCGAACAACTCATTTTCACTTTACTAAACACATTCTGAGTTCCTAATCAACTTGGAAATGATTGGTTACCCATTATTTATTTATATCAAATGGCAGGCGTTTTGATAGTTATCATTTGCCCTTTAGTGGACTTCAAGCCCCGCAGAGGGGAGGAGGAACATCAAAGTGAAAAAGGTCGAGATAAGAGTGTTTAAAAGATGTAAAAGAGACAGACACAAAGTTAGAAAAAAGGTGAGGTGAGTACTATGGAAGAAGTCGAATTTGACATACAGAGGGGTGATGGCAGTTTGGAGTCAGATGTCAACTGCCGGTTAATAGACTTTTTTGTCGTATGAGTATACGTTGCCCAGGATGCACCACGTGGAGGTAAGTCTATCGCACACCCCGGTTACCCATTATTGTTAAGAGTGTGGGATTTATACATTCGGCTTGTTGTAAGTGGACAGAAAAATAAGATGCGACTTTTTTAAGAAAATGTTCTCCGAAACCTATTGGCAACTTACGGTCAAAGTCACTGCCTCTTTCCCTCCCTTTTGATTGCTTTTCTAAAGCTGTACAATTCCCAAACTAAACTCTAAAGTTTATTAACAGAATGTATGAGAACTAACAACCAGATAATTCGTCTTTTAATTTAGGAATCTTTCATAAACATTCCCAATTATTTCTATCATTTATAACTCCTCTATACTTCCATACTTTCAACAAGTTAGAAATAATTATTTCAGCCTCAACGAAGCTATGCGTGCGAGGAATCTGCAATGTTTCCATACCTTGAAGTGATTATTAGTTTAAATGTCTTGAAAGTGTGTCATTACAGCGCTCACCGCATTGACGACGTACCTACAATTATTGATTAGAAATGGCTATGCGCGGGGTAGTGACATTCGATTATTTCAATATGGCGATTTAAAAAAAATCTGCCCTTTGTCTTTATGCGGAGAATTCAGAAAATATGCACTTTACGATAAATATTTCGCATCATTTTATAATTTGTGATTAGGGGTGTGCGATAGACTTACCTCCACGTGGTGCAACCCTGGGCAACGTAAACTCATACGGCAAAAAAGTCTATTGACTGGCAGTTGACTTCTCACTTCAAACTACCATCACCTCACTCGATGCCATATCAGAATATTTCACAGTACTCACCTCACCTTTTTTTCTACCTTTGTATTTGTCTCTTACATCTTTGAAATACTCTTCAACTAAAGGGCTAATGATAACTATCATAAAGCCTGCCATATGATATAATAATTTGTGATTAAATTAAACAACCAAAGATAGAATGCTCAAAACATTTATTATTATATATCAACTATGCATAACATTTTCTACAGTTTTTTAGGTATATATATTTACAATAACATAATTACAAGCACTATTAATTATGACTCTGTGAAAAATTCATGATCCGTGCCAATTAGGGTGGTGGAGGAACCATAAGGTTGGGAAAACACGAAGGAGGCGAAAACAGAGACGTAGATGCGGCTAAATGGTTTAAAAATGTCCTAACCGAAGACTCTTGAGACCCCATCCCACCAAACCCCACGTTATTCTCCCCATTCATCAGACTTTGCACAGCTTGAGGGCTGAAGAAAGGCAAACTGGATGGCGATAGCGGTGTACTGGAAGATGTCACTGGTGAATGCTGGTTTAAAGGTGGTGGCATCATTAAAGAAGAAGGTAGAGGAAGAGGCGAATTGAAGAGATTTTGTGCTAACATTGAATTAGAGGGCATTACTGGGGGCAAGATGGGGAAGGTAGACTGATCGGAGATGTTGTTGTTAGTGTTGTTAGGGGATAAATGTGGTGACACTCTATCCATTTCAGACACAGTTGCTGATAAGACCGGCAGCGCTGGTGGACGTGGCATAACTGATCCTGTAATGGCCGCCATAGCTGCAGCTTTTCTGTAAGCTTCCACTGTCTCGTGGTGTTGCTAAAATGAGTATTCAAAAACTCCTTATATTTTTCAAACAAAATGGCAAAACAACATTGTCATAAGAATTGTTAACTTACACCTAGATGAGTCTTCAGATTCCCCTTTGTCGAAAACCGTTTTGAGCAGATCTTGCAGACGAAGGGCCGCTCTTCTGTAAACCCGAAAGAGTCAATTAGAACCTTAATTAAAACCGTGATTTTGACAAGGTCAACAAACACCAACCTGTATGAACGCGATAATGCATAGTTAAGGCACTTCGACAACTCAGAACTTTTCGACAGACTCCGCATTGATTTGCAGTGGTGCTTCTTTGAAACTTCTCGGCCAGCTGTCGCCACATTATGTTCTGGGTTTCATCAACTCTCATGAACTGCTCAAGATAGTCTTCATTAGGTCGACTTCTAAGATGAGTATTGGGTGAAGGCGTGGAATCGAAGCTGGCATCTATGTTCGCATCGGACCTATCTTGACGTGGAAGGAAGTCAGAGCCAAGAGGACGAAACCATTCCATCATATGGTGAGAATTTGAATGATTTTGAGGTGTTGACGGTCTCACAGAAAGATCTAATACTTGAGTGGAGTCGTTGAAGCTTCCGTTGATGATCGATATTTGCCCATTCGGATGCGAGGATTTGAGTTCCGTGTTGTAATTAGATGCGAAAATAGCATTAATCGGGCTAGAGCTATCTTTTCTGTTGATTTCAGGAGTTGGTAGATTGTGTCCATTCTCTTGTTGAATACCTTTTTCTGAAATAATGCAAAGTAATAAGTAAAATTAAATTGGAAAACAATCTTCCAATTAGCATTTGTAGTTAGTTGCCTGCATTAGCAAATGTGCGTGTGCGTTAGAGGTTTTTAATCAGACAAAATTTATGCATAAACTTTGCATATTTCTCTTTGTGGTTGTCCGGGGGGTTTTCGGTAACAAGTGGAAGTGCACCAAGACTCTGTCTTCTCTCTCCCTCCCTCCTTCTCTCACCCCCCCCCACCCCCACCCCGCACCCGTCACTCTTTCGTCTGGTTATGTCGCACACACTCTTCTGGAATGGCGCGGATGAGAGTTCTCACTAGTTGGTTATGACCTAACTTGATAGTGGTGGATTGGCTACAATTTGTTATGTGAAAATTTGAGATTATGCAAATCTCAGTGCCAGAAATGCTTATCATTATTCAGAAGCGCGGTACTGATAATACAATGCAAAATACTTCATTTTTATTTCTTGAGGATAATTCTAATTTTAAATGTATATTGATGGAAGCAAGCGGATGAATTGTGAGTGCCTCAACGGCAACTTAGACTCAAGTAAATTCGTTATTCATGAATGAATTCAATTCAAGCAGCTATAGCGCTATTAATCAAAAATCGAATGCCGATTTTGGATAAGAGAAGGGGTCTATAGTGTTACTCCGTATTAATATAGTTTATAGAGTTGTAGGTAAGGTCTATCGAGATAAGCATACCTCGAAAAATTGTATGCAAACGGAATGACAACTGATTGAGCTTGTAAAACTATAATTATAAATGGGATTAGAAAACTCGAACCCGGATTCTGTAATAGCATCCACGTCTCTGTTTACTTTCCCACAAATTGGTTTGGACTTCTCCAATAACCCAGAGATATTAGAAACAAAGGGACACAAATTGCAACATAAGATAATCTTTGTACTTAAACTTTCTCCCTATTTGGCATCTGTAATGTTTAAAACTGCGTATCTTAATGCCAAATAATATTTGTAAGATAAACATTAATTGATCAATTTTCGTTGGTCATCTGGGTTTGATAAAATAATATAACGAATGCTCAGCTTATAGTAAATTAAAATTGTGCAAGCAAACGAAGTTGTGAATTCAGCTTCCTAGAGATTGGAAGCAATGAAAATTGGACTGATATTGAAGATTAGCTTTTAACTTGAGGAATTCGAGATTTAAGTTTCCAAAAGAAGTGAATTATTTAGCACCTACCATCGAAATCTTCGTTGGTAACGACAGATTATTGTCCCTGAGCTATTTTTAAAGCTGTTCCTTTTGAGTATCCCGAAGGAATATGGAGTGGAAGATATTAAAAATCTGTTAGGCATTGGCAATCTTTCACGTTGAGAATTGATTTCTTAATTTTTGGAACAGATCACTGCAATCTACGCAATAGATACAGTGACTACCATTTTTTCAATTATTTAATCTGACCATGAAATTTAAGCTTTGTTATTTTTTACAGAAGGACTAACCGAGGTTTATAAATGCTATTTTTTACCCAGCATAAATGAATCTACCGTATAAAAAGGTAATTTTTATAACTAATTGGCCTTTGTCAATCAATACAAATGAAAGGAGATTATCACTCCCAATCTCAATTGTCCTCTGTTGACAACTTCATTCTTCGTACAATATGCTGAACTGATAGAAATTATCAGTTAAATCGAATAACTATTTTAAAATTTTACGATATAATAAGCCTTAAAACATGAAGATCAAGTCGACATCGAACTTGAAATGTAGTAAAAATGGTTAACTTACTCATTGTACTTGAAGATCTGTAAATTCTTTGTGGAACAGATTTGAGCGTTTTCATAAGCGACATTTGGAGAACTCGATTTCTGCCCATAATTTGAGATGTAATGTTATCGCTGGTGAGATAGGTTTCAATGAGACTCTTCGGCAGAATTGCTCCTTTGAATTTCTCAAGATTCCGTCTAATTTTATGTCTATAGATACGCGAAAGGGTAGAATACTTATCAAGCAAACGAAGTTGCCGAGAAAGGACTTTAATTTTCATCATGCGCTTTCGAGGCATATTGACAGTAACGTTAAGACTGAGTTATCATATCATTAGTATTAAATACATATAATTCGACATCTAAGGAGAGTTATGATTGGTTAATTTTGCACGGTGAGAAATCAGCCAATTAAGAGGCAGTATTTATCCAGCGCGTGACCAAGGGGTTTTGCAACAGACGCGATTAGGGTCAAGACTCCAAAATCAAGCAAATTATTCACTAATTCGAATATTTCCATTATGTCTGTCATCGGATCATGTTGATTCACAAAAGCTTATTCTTTGGAAGTTTGAGTTATTAACTCTATTCTTTAAAATGCAGTCGAATCATAATTTTTTCTAACATTCAGGTTAATAAAAATATTTTAAATCTTTACTAATCTTTATTGCTTTTATCGAAAGTAATTATAAAATCCAAAATTTCTTTTCTTTCATTTTTTATTTAAATTATAGCCTTCTTAGCTGGGCTGTTTATGAATGTAAATGTGATAACTTACAGTAATTTAACTTGGTTAAGTTTGTGGTCCAAGTGCCATATAAATAAAACATTTTTCAACCGACCATCGTAGAATATTTCTTTTAGCTAGACAGAGCGAAATAGTACTTGGCAATGTCATAAATAATATGAAATATATTACTGATAAGAACTGTAACCATGAAGCTGCAAATTCTGTGCCCTTTCAGAAGACAATCAGTGCGCACCACTTAAGTACTGGAACAGTCATAACTTTATTAAAATGCCAATAAGGTGAGGATGGAGTAATCGCTAAGTTACCCAACCCTCTCTGAGTATGTATCAATTGTAGAATGCGATATCTGGAGAGCGGGTATAACTGCAGGACTGAATCTCCCAGCAGTACTGATGATCATAGAGATTAACTAATCATTTCCCGTGGTTGAAATTTATTTATTTATTTCAAATGGCAGGGTTTATGATATTTATCATTAGCCCTTAATCTTTGACTTCAGCTTCCCCCAAGAGGGGGGGGGTACATTTATAGCAGTTAATTAATAGCAATTCATTAGCTGTCTTCTTTCTTCCCAGTATCTTTGGCTTTCCGTACTTGTCTTTAGGGCTGGACACCGAATCAGGTGGGTTTTCTCCATTTCCTCCTGTAGGTGACATCGGGGGGCATGTGGGTTGAGTGTATACTCCCAATCTGTGAAGGTATTTTGCCAAGCAATCGTGTCCGGTACGTAGTCTAAACTCAGCAATGTCTCCGATTCTTGGCCAGTCAGTTTTGTCGGAGAGTGCCACTATCCACTGTTTCTCCTTTGTTCGAGCTTTATGTTCGTTGCACCTTGAGGTCTGGAATTCTCTCCTGATTAAGGCCTTCATTGTGTGGAAAGACATGGGCCGGTCCATGCATTGCAAAATCGTTGTCTCCTTCTTAGCAAGTGTGTCAGCAAGCTCATTGCCTTTAATGCCACAGTGACCAGAAATCTATTGTAGGACCACTGTTTTGTTTTTCTCTCTCAGGAGCTGATAGAGCTTTCTACATTCCTTTATATCAGCTATTTTGGGTGGCTCTCTGTTTCCGAAAGTATCACCGCTTTGGTGAATTTCGTACCCAGGCAACATAATTGGCATAGTGCTATCCTAGTGGCCCCCGTGGTTGAAATTATTACATAAATGTCTTGTATTCCAAATTTCCAAATAAAGTTTTGAAAATGTACTATTTTTTAATTAAAATACGCGCTTAAGCTGTTTTTGAGGTCAACGATATTTTGAAAAAATCATTCCCAATTTAATTTCCAAATTTTTCTGATGACCATTCATGTTGTGTGGGACAGGGCAATAGCAGCATTGAAGAGTGGAAGTTCCACTGTTCATCTTTGTTATGCTGGAAGAGTTGAAGTGGGGCAACCAATTTCCTTTTCTATTCAATTTGCCAATGCGTTTCAAACGCAATTGTGTAGATGACTATGGACGTGTGAGTTTCTGAGATAATTCTAGCATAGTTAACAGAGGATCTGCTTCAAATTGAGCTTTTATACGTCGCCATCAAAATTTGTAGGTTGTTCTGATTTGAGAGTATCATTCAAATTGCCATTGCCCGATGTAGATCTTTTAATCCCGAAATTGACTTCGGTGAACTGTAAGCGCTTGACAATTAGGCTTTGGTACTAGTCTTCCAGGTGTTCAAGTCCTGATGAAAGAAAGGTAACGTGCAGATTGTATCTACCGAGTTATCTGAGTACTTTAGAAGTGAAAATTTTTAACGATAGTGTAATTTATTCCCCATAAGTAATATTGAACAGAGCATTTTTTTGTGTCTAGACACAGCCAAATGCAAGCATGGTAGTGAAATGCTAGATGAAACTTCGCATTTTCGAGCTACTTAGAGAATAATTAAGAAAATAATGGCGTACATTTATTATTTATTCAAGCTTAAAGCAACTCATTAATTACACCTCAACTCCATAATTATTGATAATTTGTCGCATATGGGAGCTTTAATCATCGGAAGACGAGGGTATTTAATAAACAACTTTTAAATGTTGAAATGAAACTAATTTTAACATATTTGAGCACAGTGAAATTTACGGAACTTTCACTATCTCTAGTGCATGCTTGCTTTCTGCCAACTTGAATACAATTCCTTTGCAAAATCGCAGGCGATAAAAGCAAATTTAAAACAATCATTGGAGAAATTGTGCCGCCACAATTAAGTTTGCATATTAAAATTTAATTTTGCAGCCAAAAAACGCAAGCATTCAAAATCGTACCCCTCCACCCTCCTCCTAATCCTCAAATTTATTTTAATGCATTTTAATGAGTTGGTCATCACATATTGTAACCAACCCAGTAATATAAAAGGTGATACTTGCAAAAGAATGACAAATTGGCGACACAGCAATCTCCATCCCCACTTTTAAAATAATTTGCATTTAAAGATTGTGCGTGTGTTATGTAAATTATTGAGGAGGGTACGGCAAAGACACTGCGTTCTCTCAACCTCTCTCTTCAATCGATCCTGGCCAAGCAAAGCATTTACATAGGGTGCGGTGAGCATATTTGAATTGTAATGTGTTGTTTAAAATTTTGTTTGAATTCATTATTCAACTTACATGCCTATGAATTTTAATTATCAACTAAATTTGTGCTTGACGCAAGCAACCAATCGCCTGCTGGTTTGAGTGTTCAACTCGTAAATTAAATTAAAATATATGCTATTTGTTGAAAATTTACAACTTATGACTTTCTTATGCTCGTAAGAGAGTCTTACTCATAGTTTATCCCCCCATTAAACTTGTCAGTTTGGTGGCGGGTTAATAAGGACTTTTGACATTTAAATTGAATAAAATCATTAATATTATTATTATTATTATTTCAAAAGGCAGGCTTTAGGATATTTATCAATAGCCCCTTAGTTGACTTCGGCTTTCACAAGGGGGGGGGGGGGGGAAGAACATGTATTTGGGGTTTAGGACAGTTGACTTCTTGCTTCTCAGTATCTCTGGCTTTCTTTCGTTGACTGTAAGGCTGAACACCGGCTCAGATAGATCTTCTCCATTTCCTCTTTTAGGACATATAGGGAGGGGCGGAGTTGCATGTTGGCTGAGCGTATACTCCTATTCTGTAAAGGTGCTTAGCCAGGCAATCATACCCGGTACCGTAGTCTAAACTCAGCAATGGCTCTGATTCTTGGCCAGTCAGTTTTGTCGGAGAGTGCCACTATCCACTGTTTCTCCTTTAGGTTGAATTATTCAACTTCGTTTAGCCTTAGCAACTGCTTAACAGCAGTCGTGTACTTGAATTGAGACGATATAGATATGATACAAAAGAACAAAATTTAAAGTATATTTATATCAAATGTCAGGTGTTTTGATAGTTATCATTAGCCCTTAAGTTGACTTCAGTCATCACAGATGGGAAGGAACATCAAAGCGAAAAAGGTCGAGATGGGGGGGGGNGGGGGGGGGACAGAAGAGTGTTTCAAAGATGTAAAAGAGACAGACACAGAGTTGGAAAAAAGGTGAGGTGAGTACGATTGAAGAAGTCGACTATGACATACAGTGGGATGATGGTAGTTTGGAGTCAGAAGTCAACTGCCGGTTAATAGACTTTTTTGCCGTATGAGTATACGTTGCCTAATGTGCACTACGTGAAGGTAAGTCCATTGCACACCCCACAAAATTTGAAGTCGATATCACTTTAAACACGCAATCGAGGATACACAGGATTAAGTTGATTTTGCAAGAAAATGGGAATAACAGTGATATCTAGTTAATTTTAATTTCATTTTTTGGCCTCCCTCTAAGAAATTGGGAGGCGACTATGATTGGGAGTGTTGGAGTGGCATCTGTGTCTACTTAAGACAGATTTTGGGCATATGACTGAAATTAGGGCAATATAGAGCCTTTATAGGAAGATGCGTAAGCTAAATGAAATATTATAAGAGATGAAAGAGGCTGCCTTAATCTTCTTCATCAACAATAAAAGTGAAATATTACATTTTATCAGGACACAATTTGGGAAAGATTTTACAAAGCCACAAAACATTTCTCCTTCCCAATTAAACTCAATTTAGTAAACTTGAGAAGCAATGAGCAGGAGAAGAATACATCTCAAATTTTGAAGGGAATATCCATCATTCTTGACAGATGTATTGTGGGCATATGTCTCCATTAACTCTCATTAAATTTCATCAATTTATCATGAGGCTATGAATTATCATTTGCTTACATCCGCTAAGTTGTCTTCCCATCTCTGCCACGCACACACACACAACCACCCACACAAGCTCATCAATCTTCATCTCCCGAAACGGAAAATAAATAATAATATTAGGTGGGCGCGATTGGGTGGGATCTCAGCCTAGAAGCATTTAAAAGAGCAATGACTACGGAAAAATTCATTTCTTTCTATTTTTCATAGCCCTCAAGAAGTTTTATTATTTATTTATATCAAATGGCAGGCGTTCTGATAGTTATCATTGCCCTTTAGTTGACTTCAGGCTTCACAGAGGGGAAGGAACATCAAAATGGGAAAAAATTCGAGAGTAGGTAGGAAA